ATTGTGATCCAGACAGAAAGGTCTGTTTTCTGTTTAATGAAGTACTATAACGCCGCACAGCTTACTAGATATATTGTGATCCACACAGACGGGTCTGTTTTCTGTTTAATGAAGTACTATAACGCCGCCCAGCTTACTAGATATATTGTGATCCACACAGACGGGTCTGTTTTCTGTTTAATGAAGTACTATAACGCCGCACAGCTTACTAGATATATTGTGATCCACACAGACGGGTCTGTTTTCTGTTTAATGAAGTACTATAACGCCGCACAGCTTACTAGATATATTGTGATCCACACAGACGGGTCTGTTTTCTGTTTAATGAAGTACTATAACGCCGCCCAGCTTACTAGATATATTGTGATCCACACAGACGGGTCTGTTTTCTGTTTAATGAAGTACTATAACGCCGCCCAGCTTACTAGATATATTGTGATCCACACAGACGGGTCTGTTTTCTGTTTAATGAAGTACTATAACGCCGCCCAGCTTACTAGATATATTGTGATCCACACAGACGGGTCTGTTTTCTGTTTAATGAAGTACTATAACGCCGCACAGCTTACTAGATATATTGTGATCCAGACAGAAAGGTCTGTTTTCTGTTTAATGAAGTACTATAACGCCGCACAGCTTACTAGATATATTGTGATCCAGACAGAAAGGTCTGTTTTCTGTTTAATGAAGTACTATAACGCCGCCCAGCTTACTAGATATATTGTGATCCACACAGACGGGTCTGTTTTCTGTTTAATGAAGTACTATAACGCCGCACAGCTTACTAGATATATTGTGATCAGCTTACAGATATATTGTGATCCAGACAGAAAGGTCTGTTTTCTGTTTAATGAAGTACTATAACGCCGCACAGCTTACTAGATATATTGTGATCCAGACAGAAAGGTCTGTTTTCTGTTTAATGAAGTACTATAACGCCGCACAGCTTACTAGATATATTGTGATCCAGACAGAAAGGTCTGTTTTCTGTTTAATGAAGTACTATAACGCCGCACAGCTTACTAGATATATTGTGATCCACACAGACGGGTCTGTTTTCTGTTTAATGAAGTACTATAACGCCGCCCAGTTTACTAGATATATTGTGATCCACACAGAAAGGTCTGTTTTCTGTTTAATGAAGTACTATAACGCCGCCCAGCTTACTAGATATATTGTGATCCAGACAGAAAGGTCTGTTTTCTGTTTAATGAAGTACTATAACGCCGCACAGCTTACTAGATATATTGTGATCCACACAGAAAGGTCTGTTTTCTGTTTAATGAAGTACTATAACGCAGTATAGTGATGTGTGTTTGTACAGATACACACTGATTTCTGACGAGACAATTAATGGATACAACTGTATATGTGATGTGTGTAGCCGATACACACCTTACTGATATATTGTGATCCACACAGTGTGTTTTCTGTGTTAATGAGATACACACTGATCTGACGAGTTGACAATGCTGTAGGATACACCACTGTATATGTGATGTGTGTTTGTACAGATACACACTGATCTGACGAGTTGACGATGCTGTAGGATACACCACTGTATATGTGATGTGTGTTTGTACAGATACACACTGATCTGACGAGTTGACGATGCTGTAGGATACACCACTGTATATGTGATGTGTGTTTGTACAGATACACACTGATCTGACGAGTTGACAATGCTGAAGGATTATTTAATGATATATGTGATCCACACAGTGTGTTTGTACAGATACACACTGATCTGACGAGTTGACGATGCTGTATGTGTGTTGTGTGTTTGTACAGATACACACTGATCTGACGAGTTGACAATGCTGTAGGATACACCACTGTATATGTGATGTGTGTTTGTACATATACATACTTATCTGACGTGTTGACAATGCTGTAGGATACACGACTGTATATGTGATGTGTGTTTGTACAGATACACACTGATCTGACGAGTTGACAATGCTGTAGGATACACCACTGTATATGTGATGTGTGTTTGTACAGATACACACTGATCTGACGAGTTGACGATGCTGTAGGATACACCACTGTATATGTGATGTGTGTTTGTACAGATACACACTGATCTGACGAGTTGACAATGCTGTAGGATACACCACTGTATATGTGATGTGTGTTTGTACAGATACACACTGATCTGACGAGTTGACGATGCTGTAGGATACACCACTGTATATGTGATGTGTGTTTGTACAGATACACACTGATCTGACGAGTTGACGATGCTGTAGGATACACCACTGTATATGTGATGTGTGTTTGTACAGATACACACTGATCTGACGAGTTGACGATGCTGTAGGATACACCACTGTATATGTGATGTGTGTTTGTACAGATACACACTGATCTGACGAGTTGACGATTCTGTAGGATACACCACTGTATATGTGATGTGTGTTTGTACAGATACACACTGATCTGACGAGTTGACGATGCTGTAGGATACACCACTGTATATGTGATGTGTGTTTGTACAGATACACACTGATCTGACGAGTTGACAATGCTGTAGGATACATCACTGTATATGTGATGTGTGTTTGTACAGATACACACTGATCTGACGAGTTGACGATGCTGTGTTATTCACGACTGTATATGTGATGTGTGTTTGTACAGATACACACTGATCTGACCAGTTGACAATGCTGTAGGATACATCACTGTATATGTGATGTGTGTTTGTACAGATACACACTGATCTGACGAGTTGACAATGCTGTAGGATACACGACTGTATATGTGATGTGTGTTTGTACAGATACACACTGATCTGACGAGTTGACGATGCTGTAGGATTCACCACTGTATATGTGATGTGTGTTTGTATACACACTGATCTGACCACTGTATATGTATATGATGTGTGTTTGTACAGATACACACTGATCTGACGAGTTGACAATGCTGTAGGATACACCACTGTATATGTGATGTGTGTTTGTACAGATACACACTGATCTGACGAGTTGACGATGCTGTGTTATTCACGACTGTATACGTGATGTGTGTTTGTACAGATACACACTGATCTGACGAGTTGACAATGCTGTAGGATTCACCACTGTATATGTGATGTGTGTTTGTACAGATACACACTGATCTGACGAGTTGACAATGCTGTAGGATACACGACTGTATATGTGATGTGTGTTTGTACAGATACACACTGATCTGACGAGTTGACAATGCTGTAGGATTCACCACTGTATATGTGATGTGTGTTTGTACAGATACACACTGATCTGACGAGTTGACAATGCTGTAGGATTCACCACTGTATATGTGATGTGTGTTTGTACAGATATACACTGATCTGACGAGTTGACGATGCTGTAGGATTCACCACTGTATATGTGATGTGTGTTTGTACAGATACACACTGATCTGACGAGTTGACAATGCTGTAGGATACATCACTGTATATGTGATGTGTGTTTGTACAGATACACACTGATCTGACGAGTTGACGATGCTGTAGGATTCACCACTGTATATGTGATGTGTGTTTGTACAGATACACACTGATCTGACGAGTTGAAGATGCTGTAGGATACAGCACTGTATATGTGATGTGTGTGTGTTCTGTACGATGCTGTGTTAGACGACTGTACACACTGTTTGTCAGATACACACTGATTGAAGTTGACGATGCTGTAGGATTCACCACTGTATATGTGATGTGTGTTTGTACAGATACACACTGATCAAATTAGAATGCTGTATTCACACTGGTATGTGATGTGTGTTTGACAGATACACACTGATCTCCAAGTATTTGACACCATGTTCATCATTGTTCACACTTGATATTAGCCTTGTGTTATGACAGATCATCTGATTTACTGTAAGGATATAATTTCGGAATTTGATTGGTTTGTCTATTACATGTCTCAGGTTGACAGAGTGGCTGGTATCATTCCATATTGTAGTGTATTTTCATTCGATTTCTTTATCATCAAATAGACTTCCGTTTTAGAAAGTTTGCCTTCGATGTCAATTACACCATTATCCTGTCTCATTCGTCAGCTGTTTCGTTTCCGGGTATATTAACTTGAGATGGGATCCATCCCTCTACACATTATATTTAATTTCGAGTGACAGATTTCATGCTATTTCTGGTGTCTATTGATTGTAGTATTGAAAAGACTAGATGTGAGGATGACTTCCATGCTTAGTTTGGTTTGATACATGCTGTCATCAGGGAAGACAACTCCTAGAACTACTACTTTATCTGTTATTTGATGTTTAGATTAACCCGAACTATATTTAACTTTTTTTATTTCTCTTCTATGATCGTCACAGATATTGCTTTGCCTCTGAGTGTTTTAGTTGTACTATCAGAATTTCGTAACTGATTTAAACTTTTTATCGATTTGAATATGGTCTAAGCCAAATTTCCTTAATGAAGTGATTACTTGATGATCGTAAACTGGTTTCCATGTTGTATTTTCTATAATTGATTTCTTGATATCTCTTAATGATTTATTAGATGTTAAGTCTTGTCCTAAAGTTTCCGTCCTACCCCAATATTTAAGAGATGGGATTACATCACTGACAGCCCTATGTAGAACTACAAGTATGCACTTGACATGGCACTGAAAGAGTTGTAGCAGACACCCAAAACGGATTTTCAGTATGTGTTAACTATTCACATATATATTTACTTTCCGACTTTAAATATATGTCTATTAATAACAAGTTCTGAATTGAAAAACAAATTGATTATATAGTGAATAGTATCGTGTCATGATAAATACATTAACGACAGGTTTCTGATAACAGAACATTGAGAAAACAGAACACCTGGGAAAAACATCTTTAAAAATTCTATATATATGGATTGAATAAAAACCAATCTGGTCTTTCCCACAAAATGATTATTACAACACAAATGAATACGTAGCCTGATATTTATCGTTAATTTATCTCAATAGAAATGTTTTTTATACGGTCAAAAAACTTCAACGAATTCACTAAATAAACTACTGTTTTAATTAGGTATATTACAAGTAATGAACTTAAATACACAGAAACAATGAACGTAAAATCAACATTCAACAAAAATTTGTCTTTCAAAAAGTCTTTTTTTAACAAATCCTCTGTATGGAGATTGACCCTGCTAAATCCTTTCAGACTTAAAACGTCTGATTGTGTGCGTGGGAAAGTTGTACCAAAGTATCTAGACGCTCCACGGATCACTGTATTGTTTCGTCCTTCAGTGTAAACATTTCACAGATTACTTAAAGTAAGCAGGTAAATATTTGTAGTTGGCATCGATAATTAATTCATATTCATAACTTCATACATTTTTGTTAGTCAAAGTAGCAACATATTCTTCTTGGTGGGTCAGTGTATCCATTTATTTCAAACTTGTTCATCCGAAGGTCATTTTCCTTCAAAAGATTTATTAAGCAATAGTCAACTCAGCAGACGGAATTCATATGAATCATATTTTCGGCACAAGTAAACGGCAACCTGACAAGTTTAAGTAGTGTATCACAGGCTTCGTGACAGACTTTGATGCACGCCCCAAAAGGAAGCAGTAACACATACAGCCAAGCAACAAAGAACGCTATTGGCCAAGCCAGCAACACTAGGATAAAGAACCACAGGATAGCATTTAATAGTCCAGCTCCTCCTCCACCTTTCCCTTCTCCCTGGCCTTCACCTTTGCCCATGATTTATATATGTCCTGCAAGGTAAAGGAAGATTTTTAAAAAAGAAATGCCCGATCGCTATCAGAAAAGTGAACGTTCATATCAAGGTATGTTTGTATAAATAGGTACAACAAATGATAAAAGCAACACCCACAAAAGGTCAAGAGGTCAAGAATGATAGCCATACCTATATAGATACGTGTTATTATATAACGATGGTATCAAAATTAGTGATACAAACAATTTATGACAATTTGTGAACATAAATGTATTTATTCTAACGTGTAAAGTTTAACGATCTCCCTAACCAAGGACAATGAAATGTTACAAGACAACAACTGGAGAGAATAATAACCGATAAATCATCTTCTCGTGATGTGTAACCAATACAATGATAGATAAAAACAAATAGATTAAAACAGTAATTTACATCTTAAAATACAGTCATGTCGGTTATCTAAGCCATGGGGATGAATGAAGAAATTTATGTGTAGTTTTCTGTAGGGTCACGTTCGGTTCAGTACTTTGCTGTTCTCTGGTTTTGTTTAGAAGTAATAACAAACAACACTCTCACCTTTTCATTACAGCAAATATCATTACTTTGGACACATTAACAAGACATACTGATTAACGAATATGTTTGCTAGCGGTACATAAATACATACATTGTACCCTAAGGTAATATTTTCTCGTTGCATTTTTTTTTTTTTTTTTATTATTATTATTTATTTTCATCACCAAAAGGAGCAGTTGTCACCTATCCACAACAGGGAGAGATAATTTGTTACTTCGTATCTTAGGAACCAGTTGTCCACGCACATGCTTATTTAGCCATTTTTTACTACAAAAGATGATGGTGTGAAACTGGAGAAAAAAAACGTATTAAGTTTTAATTAAGCCTAAATAACGAGTGTTAACACTATAGTCTACAACATGATAATGAATTAACATCAACATACCTTTGTTATAGAGATGTCTAATTGCTTTCTCTTCATTCAGATGTATATCAACCTTGTAGTTTCCACAGCTTTATCTCAATGTCCACTACAACAAATATTCACTTCCGCCAGCGTGTATGTAGGACATTGTCAACTTACTCAACTGGGAATGATCGGCACATTTCATCTCAAATCTGAAGCATCATTCATAATTTTCATCGATATATCCTTCGTCAGTATAGTTTGAAGTTTGATTTTAGTATAAAGTTCTTCAACAGTTAATATTGTGTGGTAAAATGCTGCAAGAAGATTTTTTTTTTATTTCAGACTGTGAGATGACATAATTATAATCTAGTGTTATGATACATTCAGAGTCACGAGACGTGAAAACTTACCTCGTCATGTCACAGTATAGGGTCGGTGTTACGGTGATTTATTTTAACGAGGTTTAACATCACCACAGTATAGGGTCGGTGTTACGGTGAATTGATTTAACGAGGTTTAACATCACCACAGTATAGGGTCGGTGTTACGGTGATTTCTTTTAACGAGGTTAAACATCACCACAGTATAGGGTCGGTGTTACGGTGATTTATTTTAACGAGGTTAAACATCACCACAGTATAGGGTCGGTGTTACGGTGATTTATTATAACGAGGGTAAACATCACCACAGTATAGGGTCGGTGTTACGGTGAATTGATTTAACGAGATTAAACATCACCACAGCATAGGGTCGGTGTTACGGTGATTTATTTTAACGAGGTTTAACATCACCACAGCATAGGGTCGGTGTTACGGTAAATTGTTTTAACGAGGTTTAACATCACCAAAATATAGGGTCGATGTTACGGTAAATTGTTTTAACGGGGTTTAACATCACCACAGTATAGGGTCGGTGTTACGGTAAATTGTTTTAACGGGGTTTAACATCACCACAGTATAGGGTCGGTGTAATGGTGAATTGATTTAACGAGGTTTAACATCACCACAGTATAGGGTCGGTGTAATGGTGAATTGATTTAACGAGGTTTAACATCACCACGGCATAGGGTCGGTGTTACGGTAAATTGTTTTAACGAGATTTAACATCACCACAGTATAGGGTCGGTGTTGCGGAGAATTGTTTTAACGGGGTTTAACATCACCACAGTATAGGGTCGGTGTTACGGTAAATTGTTTTAACGGGGTTTAACATCACCACAGTATAGGGTCGGTGTTACGGTAAATTGATTTAACGGGGTTTAACATCACCACAGTATAGGGTCGGTGTTGCGGTGAATTGTTTTAACGGGGTTTAACATCACCACAGTATAGGGTCGGTGTCATGGTGAATTGTTTTAACGGGGTTTAACATCACCACAGTATAGGGTCGGTGTTACGGTAAATTGTTTTAACGGGGTTTAACATCACCACAGTATAGGGTCGGTGTTGCGGTAAATTGATTTAACGGGGTTTAACATCACCACAGTATAGGGTCGGTGTAATGGTGAATTGATTTAACGAGGTTTAACATCACCACAGTATAGGGTCGGTGTAATGGTGAATTGATTTAACGGGGTTTAACATCACCACAGTATAGGGTCGGTGTAATGGTGAATTGTTTTAACGGGGTTTAACATCACCACAGTATAGGGTTAGGGGCTACAGGGAATTGATTTAACGGGGTTTAACATCACCAAAGTATAGGGTCGGTGTTACGGTAAATTGTTTTAACGGGGTTTAACATCACCACACTATAGGGTCGGTGTTATGGTGAATTATTTTAACGAGGTTTAACATCACCAAAGTATAGGGTCGGTGTTACGGTAAATTGTTTTAACGGGGTTTAACATCACCACAGTATAGGGTCGGTGTAATGGTGAATTATTTTAACGAGGTTTAACATCACCAAAGTATAGGATCGGTGTTATGGTGAATTATTTTAACGAGGTTTAACATCACCAAAGTATAGGGTCGGTGTTATGGTGAATTGATTTAACGAGGTTTAACATCACCAAAGTATAGGGTTAGGGGCTACAAGAAATTGATTTAACGGGGTTGAACATCACCACAGTATATGGTTCGGGGCTACAGGAAATGGATTTAACGGGGTTTAACATCACCACATAATAGGGTTCGGGGCTACAGGGAATGGATTTATCGGGGTTTAACATCACCACAGTATAGGGTTCGGGGCTACAGGGAAATGATTTAACGAGGTTTAACATCACCACAGTATAGGGTTCGGGGCTACAGGGAATGGATTTAACGAGGTTTAACATCACCACAGTATAGGGTTCGGGCCTACAGGGAATGGATTTAACGAGGTTTAACATCACCACAGTATAGGGTTCGGGGCTACAGGGAAATGATTTAACGAGGTTCAACATCACCATAGTATAGGGTTCGGGGCTACAGGGAATGGATTTAACGAGGTTTAACATCATCACAGTATAGGGTTCGGGGCTACAGGGAATTGATGTGTTATACTGTACCACATTAAAGGATCGTCATTATGACTTAAAGAGTGGAAGAGTGTGGTATATAATGCATTACAACAACGTCAGCATTTTAAGGTATAATCAGACGTTTCATTTGACGAATTATACTCATTATAACGATTCTTTTATTTTGAGATGATATCGATCTAAAATCCGGAACTATAAAATGACAAAATGTTGCTGTTATTTATACCAAGTCGCGCTCGCGCAGAATAGGATTCTTTCCTGTGAAAAATACTGTACATACAAACTTATAGCTGTGACACACCTGAACGATGACCTGGATAGTTCACTTCTTTAATTGTTAAAAACAATACTACCCAAATTGTTACCATGGCTGTCATGGTTCGGTGATTTTGAATAAACAATAGTGTACATAGAGTCTATGCAAGGATTAGGCTTTGAAATGCGCTTGTTTAGAATTAAAACCTGATGCAATTGTATGACACAAATACAAGCACTCTTTACCGAAAACAGAGTAATGAATACTAAACAGCCAATATAAGAGAAAAAACTCAATAACTTTCATTATTCACAGCCTAATAGAAATAAAACCATCTTTATTTTCAATTTTTTTGTGAAAACACATTTAACATTTATCCAATTTTGAAGTACATATAGATGTATTTGGGTAAATATTTACACCGAATTATATAATTGATATAGGTATTGATATGTAACACGTTGAATATAGAGATAATGTCACCCCAGTGTAGAATATGCTTATCTCGAACACCTGCATGTGGTTGACTTGTTGTAGATATTCTGATCTCACTCACTCCAGAGTAGAATTTGCTTATCTCGAACACCTGCATGTGGTTGACTTGTTGTCGATGTTCTGATCTCACTCACTCCAGAGTAGAATTTGCTTATCTCGAACACCTGCATGTGGTTGACTTGTTGTAGATATTTTGATCTCACTCAGTCCAGTGTAGAATATGCTTATTTCGAACACCTACATGTGGTTGACTCGTTGTCGATGTTCTGATCTCACTCAGTCCAGAGTAGAATATGCTTATCTCGAACACCTGCATGTGGTTGACTTGTTGTAGATATTTTGATCTCACTCACCCCAGAATAGAATATGCTTATCTCACACCTACATGTGGTTGACTTGTTGTAGATATGCTTATCTCCCAGAACACCTACATGTGGTTGACTTGTTGTAGATATTCTGATCTCACTCACCCCAGAGTAGAATATGCTTATCTCGAACACCTACATGTGGTTGACTTGTTGTAGATATTCTGATCTCACTCACCCCAGAGTAGAATATGCTTATCTCGAACACCTACATGTAGTTGACTTGTTGTAGATATTTTGATCTCACTCACCCCAGAGTAGAATATGCTTATCTCGAACACCTGCATGTGGTTGACTTGTTGTAGATATTCTGATCTCACTCACCCCAGAATAGAATATGCTTATCTCGAACACCTACATGTGGTTGACTTGTTGTAGATATTCTGATCTCACTCACCCCAGAGTAGAATATGCTTATCTCGAACACCTACATGTTGTTGACTTGTTGTAGATATTCTGATCTCACTCACCCCAGAGTAGAATATGCTTATCTCGAACACCTGCATGTGGTTGACTTGTTGTAGATATTTTGATCTCACTCAGTCCAGTGTAGAATATGCTTATTTCGAACACCTGCATGTGGTTGACTCGTTGTCGATGTTCTGATCTCACTCAGTCCAGAGTAGAATATGCTTATCTCGAACACCTGCATGTGGTTGACTTGTTGTAGATATTTTGATCTCACTCACCCCAGAATAGAATATGCTTATCTCGAACACCTACATGTGGTTGACTTGTTGTAGATATTCTGATCTCACTCACCCCAGAGTAGAATATGCTTATCTCGAACACCTACATGTTGTTGACTTGTTGTAGATATTCTGATCTCACTCACCCCAGAGTAGAATATGCTTATCTCGAACACCTGCATGTGGTTGACTTGTTGTAGATATTTTGATCTCACTCAGTCCAGTGTAGAATTTGCTTATTTCGAACACCTGCATGTGGTTGACTCGTTGTCGATGTTCTGATCTCACTCAGTCCAGAGTAGAATATGCTTATCTCGAACACCTGCATGTGGTTGACTCGTTGTCGATGTTCTGATCTCACTCACACCAGAGTAGAATATGCTTATCTCGAACACCTGCATGTGGTTGACACTTTTTCTTGTGTGGTGTTATTTCTGTATACATATTACAAAAGTAAAAATAGATACTTATCCCATCTTAAAGTTTCATAAAACATACATGTATCACACTTATGTAGAAGATGGAAGAAATGCATATCAATGTCATACATTGTACAATACATAGTCAATCATTTACTTTTAACACTGAATAATGATACCAGAAAGTCACATTATTTCTACTGAAGTATGATTCAAAGAAAACTATTTTTAAATTAGTTAATCAACATTAAATCTTATCATCAAAATATACAGGCTTATTTTAGTACTTAATTGGTCTAAACCAATTCGATTTTTCTTATCTCACATACGACATTGAAAAGAAGGCTGCATGACGCGTCATCCCACATATAATTAAAACTCGTTGTAATACTTCCACAGTTTTGTGAAAGGTAATTGTCGGGTTGACCAGAAGCAAAGTTTGAGTAAGCAGATAGACTTTCTCCATATTCGGTTCGCCAATCACCCTCCAGATCCAGGTCGTTTATTCCCAGCCAGATACGGTCAAGACCTGTATGTGATGAAATGTGTAAACACGACATAGACAACAGCAACAAATACTGACATGGCAACAGCAACAAATACTGACATGGCAACAGCAACAAATACTATGGCAACAGCAACAAATACTGACATGGCAACAGAATCATGAATGAAACTCAACCTCGATAAAAGTAGGACAAATTATGAACCAAAGAAAAATTTCATGCGGACTCCTGAAATATAAAGGCAAATAAGACCAGGTGTTCCATAAGAGTGATCATCTTCTCCTTTATCGATGACACCCGCCATGTAAATCTTGATCAATCCAGTTAAGTTCTTGATTAATCCAAGTCAGTACTGTCACGTTCTCAAACAAGGTAAGCAACAACGGAACTACCTGATGCACTAATTAGCACAAAACACATGCAAGGTTTCTTGCCATCCAGAAACGGAAAATTCACAATAGGGAAATTAAAATCATCACATTTATCACACAGGTTGGTAGAAAGCTGTCCTTATTTTGGTATAATTGCAGGAACATGCAACGTATACCGTAAAAAGAAATTGAAAAAAGAGAGAGAAAAAATCAAGACAATAATACTGATATAAAAAGCAGGCGGTTAGTTTGTTTTTCCTTTCCCCTATACCTCGACAACATGGCGTACATTCTGAAAACATTGATTTACAATGTCAAAATTACCATATTGATTTCGAAACGCAGACACAATTCAGCGTGTTTCAGCAATTAACATGTATCCTCTTTAGCCCAGCTTTATAACACAACACGAAGTAATGACTTAAAATGTTGGAACTACACCATGTATGAACATATAGAAGTATGAACAACACATTTTGGTAAGTATTTAAAAGAATGTTTTGTTGTTGTTGTTGTTGTTGTTGTTGTTGTTGATGTTGTTGTTGATGATGATGTTGTTGTTGTTGTTGTTGTTTTTGATGTTGTTGTTGTTGTTGTTGTTGTTGTTGTTGTTGTTGTTGTTGTTGTTGTTGTTGTGTATGGATGTGAATTAAATGTGGCACTTTACCTTTTCGGCAATATATGTAACATCTAGATAAAATTTAGAGATGTGAGGAAGCATTGGATTTATATAGAGTATAACTACTGGCATGACTGTTTATTGTAATCCTGCTTGCCATTAGTAAATATCAACAAATATAACCACTGGAGTTGGTACTCTACATCTGGAGACTTTACGACGCAATTATAGATATTTGAGTTCGTATTTATAGAAAAATCAGAAAGCGAATAACATAATACATCCTAGTGTTACAATGAAAAGGATATGGATCCACAGCTGTAGTTAAAACATTCTTCAGATGTCTACACTTGTTAAGTAAATATTGGTGTTATCTGTGCTTTAGATATAACTACAGAAACGGACGGAAGAAAAATGAAAGAGATACAAATATCATATAAAACACGTTGTTGTCTTGGTAACGGTAGTATCTCATCCCTGGAACATTAACGATCATATAGAATTTTTTTTTTACTTCATCTATAACATAGAAACATGCACTATTCGAAATACATTGTATTTAACGTATCCAGTCTTGGTCTTCAAATGGTCTACTGCATTCTGTTTCTATTACTATAGTGTCGCCCCTTAATTAGAAAAAGAAGAAAGTTAAACAAGAGTTTTCAATATTCATTAGGATATAACTGGTTCAGATACACAAATATATACTCTCATTTCACAGTATAGAAAGATTACCTCTGACTGCCATGTACTGTTGAATAGCCGACTGTTCAATACTGCTGTCAATGCTAGGAAGACTGGCACCTTCGGAGGCACATTCTATTTTGCCCTTCGTCCAAGTGGCTAGAGAGAGCAGCTTCCAACATGTGTCCGTAAATGCGCTACATTCGTATCCATTGATAATTTCGCTGACAACTAAAACATATTTTAACACGACGTTTTATTCTCGTCTATTCCAGGTTTTAATCAGTGATATTGACATTACTTTGTATTTTTAATCTGGACCTCCTAATGGTAAATATGGAAATATGATTCAAGGCCCTATAGAAGTCGGAAAGTATTGTGATACAAACTCCAATTAAATGTTTTTTTTTTTTTTTTTTTTGGGGGGGGGGGGGGGGGGGGATATCTGAAGAAAATCTTCCTCAATTTACAAGATTCGTGTCTATACATACTCTCCCTATGAAATTTGCCACAGTCGTTTTATGCGTCAACCCCCATTCTTCCCAAACCCATCCCATCAAGGCCTTTGGTAACAAATATAGATAACATGACATAAGTATTTGTTTTCAATCATATATCGATGATTACAGGGATCATAACTGTTATGTATTGCAAGTCTAGGGGATTAACAAATGTTCTGGGTTTTATTAATGTCACATAAATACAAAGACCGATGTTTAACATACCTTCATATTGAATGGTATTAGGTTTCCAAGAACAGTCGGAGATACTCTGAGAGAGCCTGTAGTTGAGGTGACAGATCTTGTTAACTGTCTCGTAGACAATGGACATACAACTGGCCATTTTACACTGCATCCCGCACTCACTTACGGAATTTACTACCCCTACAGTTGTTAACGGAGTGCTAGGAAACCAGTCTTCAAGTGCTTCATTCTTTACTAGAATCACTTGTCCAGATGAGAACAATACTGAAAAAAAAAACATAATTAGCAACATCAGGCAATTCTGATATCATGAACAAGTTTTTGTTTCCACATAAATGAAATAAAATACCAGCTTGCCAATAGTAACATGAAACTCGAATTCAAGGAAACCAGGCGAAAATATTGAGAGAAAGATTTATATGGTGACTCATGTAAAAAGTACAAGGAGAATAGAACCTGGTGTTAAGGAAGAGTATGCGTCTTCTGCTTTGTCGTTGACATATGACATGTAAATCTTAGTCAATCAGAGTGAGTAATGTCATGTTCCCAAATGAGAGTAAGGAATACAACAACGGACTACCACTTTCCCATAATGACCTTATCTTGAAATCTGTCCAACGCTTTCTTCTATGCGTCACAATATAAGCGAGTTAGAAACATGTTTCAATGTCAAGAAAGATATAACGTACATTTTGCGATTCATGTAATAAATTAACACGGGCAGGCAATTTATGTACACGTATAATTAAAATAGTAAAAAGCTGGCTCATACTTTTAAAAAGTTTTGAATAATAAAGTCACATTATGTATATTTTTCTCTAATATCTGTACACAATTTAAATTTGCCTTAGGTCTCCGTTGATACCGGCTCACATATGGAGTTGAGTTCACTGTTCAACCTTGCCCTGTGAGTCAGGTTGTGGGTTTTATGTCATGACAAAGACATACGAGAGAGGGTTTTTTGTTATTTTTTAGAAAGTCCACGTCTTTCCTAGTTCATTATATAGTGGTTTAACGATTGATTTGCCCGTTGATAGTATAAATATGAATTTCATTGCAATCTGAACTTGTCTTCCAATGTGACGTGTATACATTATCTCAGATTTATACCTATATATATCAATGTTTATGATTATAAGATTTTGTTAACCTGTTAAATTATGTTCACAAATTCTTATTTTCTTGTTGTTTTGTAACTATGTAATATGTAAAAGATTTTCTTACCTTTGAATGATATGAGGATATATGTCCAACCTATAAACATATTGAAAACAGACAAAAGCTGATGAATCAAAAAAATTATACGAGTCTTTGCAATAACTTCTGCCTACTGGTGAGCAGGGTTTCGGAGGTGTGACGTGTATTATTCTTATACGGTCTCCATATGTGAATAAAAATCGAACCGATCGATAATAAATCTCAACAAACTGGATATTGTAGAGGAGTGGCACTGTACGGTATGCGTTGTCAAGTTACAAAGGTGAAAGTGTTTGTAAATAAACCACAAAAGAAAATCATTATCATTTTTTATAAATTGTATGTTTACTTAGTAATCGGTCTATTGGAAACATAAGCAACACAGATCCATCTAAATGGGGTTAAGTAGTTGTGCTGTAAATGACGATGCTCGCTGTTGTTTCCATTTCCATACGATCTGTGAATCAATTCTCAAGTTTAAACATTCAAACGTGTTATGAAGGGGAATGTTACATGATACGGATGACATCAAAGAGCAAAATCTACGTCAAGGAACAGATTCAAATCAACAGATGGACATTTACCATCCAAGTGGATGCCGAACCATAGCTAGGAATTAAGAAAAGAAATATATTCAATAAACACCACTTGAAAATATTTTAGCAGATCTCTATGAGAATAAATCACAGGGTCTGACCATGTGAATTTGTTAAGCAATGTGGGAAAATATTAGTAAATTACCATCAGTCATCTTTAACAAATCCCTTTTCGAAGGTAAATCAGCACTTCAAGTGAAACAAGTCAAATCACTTCTATCTTCAACAAAGAAAACCTGATGAGGATCAAATTCTAACGTTAAGAAATAGTCTGGTCAGCACCTGTAAATTTCCGACAGAGTTTCAGTCACTCATAGTCTTCAAAGAATAAATACAGATCGTGTGTAAATGTGATACATCAAATGTTACTTGCATGCTTTCATGTAGCTCAACAGCGACTCGTGAAGAAACTTCAAGATATATCGCCCAACGTCAATTAAGAATGTTTGTAGAAAACGTCTGGAATATGGAGAATCTTCGGATGTATACCGAGTCAATGGGATGCCATAACAGACTGTATTAAGACATCTTTTAATAGTAAACTGATTTGCAAGAAATAACCGATTTGCCTTCTCACCTCTCCCCCTGACGACATTATATTATTTAAGGGAATATAGAGTATCCTGGATATTGAGACATCAGAGGTGACTTCTCAGATTTCATCTAAGCAAATGCTAAGTACTTTCAATTTAATCTAAAATCAAGTCTAATAGAGCTTTTTATGCCTCGGTATGATTAATGCAAATGATCTAGTTTTTGGTTGACAAAATATTCGCGAATTTTGTGGTAAGATCTTCTAACAGACTTATGGCATAATTATGGGAACCAACTACGCTCCTGTGTTGGCTGACTTGTTTTTGTTTTCATACGAGGCTGAATTTATTGAAGAGCTCATCTAAACAGGTCGCAAAGACCTTGCAAAGCCGTCTATTTTCACCTTTATGCATATTGATGTTGTTTTGTCATTTAGACAACAAAAAAATTATTGACAACTTCCATCGTAGATATCGACCAGAAATGGAAATCGAAGATACGACAGACTCTTCTACATCAGCTACTTCTCTCGAGCTTTTCTTCCATTGAAAGCAACATGGACTGATTTCCATCAAGTTGTATGATAAACGTGAGGATTTCAATTTCCCTATGGTGAATTTTCCATTTCTGGATAGCAGCATCTCCAAGCTATTTACATGTCACAATAGCTTCGAAATTTAAGGTCCTGTTCCCATTATCAGGACTTTCGAGCGAGAAATCGTCAACTGGATGACAAACTCATAAAACAGGGGTTTAAAAGATGCAGATTGACATTTCTTTATGGTCGCCGTAGTGATCACATTAAGAAATATTTTATTTTTTGTGCGACATGAAACTAGACGTATTTGATGTTCATTAATTTGCCAGTTGGTTCCGTCGTCATTATATAAATTGATCTCATTTGAGCCCGTGAAATTACTAACTTGGATTGACAAAGGTTTACATGGTGTCGTTGATGAAGCAGAAAACACTTACTCTTCCGGAACACCTGGTCTAATTTTCCTTGTACATTTTTTCAGGAGCCACCGCGGTAATCTTTCTTTTGTCAACATTTTGCCTTAGTTTTATAGAATTTGAGTTTGCGTTATGATTATGTTGCCTTGTTGGTATTTTCGTGTGGTTTTCTTTCTACATGTTCGTCAGCCTGATATTTTTAAAGTCTGGGTTATGGATGTGCTGATTATGTACTCGATCACGCGTTGTTGGTTAGTTCCCTGTTTTTTCATAAAAATATGTACCACGTCCATCCTGTAACATAACAGCTTTCCACTAATCTGTATGATAAACTTGATGATTTCATTATTATTATTTTTGCCGTGAGTTTTCCATTTTTAGATCGCAACATTCCTATTTCCGTAACCTATATTGTTAACATGTTACAAGCGTTTCGACTTTCAAGAGCCTGTTCCCATTATCACGATTTTCGTGGAAGAAGTAGTCAACTGACAAACACATAATACGGAGTTTCAAAAGATTATATTTTAGGCCGTCATAGCGAAAAATGTTCTATGCGATATGAAGCAGGATGTGTTTCATATTCGTAAGTTTTCCTGTTGGTTCCATTGATGAGAACCCAGCTCTCATTTGAAAACGTGAAATTTATTACTTGGATTGGCCAAGGTTTACATTGCGGGTGTCGTCTATTTTTTCTCCGTGCAAATCTTTCCATTGTTCATATGTTGCCCTAGATTTATTGAATTTGAGTTTGCATTATGATTATGCTGCCGTGTTAGTGTTTTCTTGTGGTTTTCTGTCTACATGTATCTATACGTTCATCAGCCTGATACAGTCTGGGTTATGGATGTGCTGTTTATGTGCTCGATCACGGGCTTTTGGTTAGTTCCCTGTTCACCGATGTAAAATTCTCTGCAACCTGGACACTTGCTTACATGTTGGTCATTTTGTGTGGTTTACCTTTTCGGAACACCTGATCTATATTCTCCTTGTACTTTCTCAGAAGTACCCGTGTAAATCTTTCTTTTGTTCATATGTTGCCCCAGTTTCATCGAATTCGAGTTTAGTTAAAGGTTCCATTGAATTGGTGCTACTTATCCTTCTTTTAATGACATATGTGTATTTACCAGTAGATCAAGAGGGCGATATTTAGAGCTGTTTTGACAATGGTATATTTATCCTAGTATTAGATTTTAATAGAATAAAAATATCACAATATTCAAACACTCTTGTTATGATACTGCGATATGTGCTTTCCCTTTCATCATACAATCCATGCGATATTTTGAGTATACTCTAGAGCGTTTTTCATTGGCTGCATCAGTCAGAAATCGATTATAACTTCTTGATATGAATAATGACATTACGTTATCAACTGCAAATAACGTACAGTTGGACCTTAAAATCTGTTAAATAATTTTTTTGATTAAATGTGTTGAAAATATCTTAAAAGTTTCTCAAAAAAAAATAGATACATCCAAGACTCAAGACTCGATTCATGAAGTCTAATATGAAATGGAAACTCCTTTAATATTCTATTTTATCATTTTCTTATAACGACATTTTATATATTACATGTAGTTATAGTTTGATGAATTCATATACACATGTAAAAGATATAATATGAATGCAAACTGTTTAGTATAATCAGGATATGATCACTATCGTTATCTATATGATTTTGTGTTTATTAATCAGTATAAAGAAATAACAACATACAAAATGCAGGATGGCGGCCTCCAGTAGTTTTGTTTTCTGATCATTTTCACAATAAAAAAGTTTCCAATAGGGACCAAGGGCCCCATACATATGTTTTTGTGGAAGATTTATGTTATTTTTATTGATAGTGACAATTAGTCTATAGTCAAAATATGAGATTGCCGCCTGTAAGTCATTTTGTTTCTGAACAGTCTCAAAATCGAACGGACACAACTTTATAACAAGAGAATGCTTTTGAAATTGATGAGAAACTCAATAATTGTTTCTCAAAAATTGTTGAAGTATGGACCACGGACACAAGGTTATTTCAAAAGCCAACAATATGATAACGTTGTGTTAAAAGTAACCAAACCGGTAAAGAATTAAATAAAGATCAGTCAATGGTAGATTCCAAGGTCCCTCAGAGGAATCGTGTTTAACTCACTTGTGTGATCTTGTACAATCCTCTGAGGGAGGTCATAATTAAAATCAATTGTCCTTATCTAAACAGTCTGTTATCTCAGTAGCAGTGAAGTAAATTATTGTTATTTGCTAGCTTAAGAAGTTAAAGTAGTGTCATACCGCTTTCTGGAACATCTTTTTTGTCAACTTCAAACATAACAAGGTTGATTTAAATGAGCAACGTTCTTGGTGTTCCTTTTTATTATTAGTGTCTAGATACTCATTGATATCAAGAAATTGTATACACCGCGGCATCCGCAAATCTGTTATACAAGCTGGCAGAAAATGGTTCGCATTAAATTTGTCAAACGGTATTTTGAAATATATTTCAGAAAGTATCGGACTCCGGCATTATTTCGTAGTTTCGTCCGCTTTTTCTTTTGTACCAATCAACCAAAACGTCTGCATTGGTCCCTTTCCCTGAAAGAAAATCGTTTTTATAATAAGTTATAAATAAAAGTTCATAATATATAAATATCTATTTCAAATTTAAATACTTTCGCTAATAAAAAAAGAACAACAGATGTATTATACATACAATACATATCCAGGCAAACTCATTCAACTGACTCGACTATATTTATAGCCATGTACACTATATATATATTATATTCACATTATATCAATATATATATATATCAATATACATGTGTGTGTGTGTGTGTGTGTGTGTGTGTGTGTGAGGGTGAGGTTGTGTGTGAGGGTGTGTGTGTGTGTGTGTGTGTGTGAGGGTTCCTGTTATATACCTGTATTGGCTTATCAGCATTGTTCATTAGTATTCAAATAGTTGTATACCTCCATAAATATATATTCAATTCCAGTACCATCAGAATAGATGTTATATGAATGCTTTGTATTTTGAAACGACAGAAAAATTTTAAAGTTACAGGAGATTTATGGGAAGGAGCTAATTCTATCTTTATGCATTGCGTTTTGTTACATTCGTCGGTTAGGGACAATCAAAAGCATTCTTCACAAAGGAATTCTTCTTATAAGAAACTATTTATCAACTGCAATTATGTCATTTTATAAACTTCGATTTTTCCTTATTCCTGCACACTTAACAATAAGTTAAGCAGACAGTATTATATAGTGGAAATCTAATTCTGCATCATTTATCTGAAAAATGAAACTATAAAAAACAATTGAATTTTGAAAAATGATTTGCCGGTGCAATGTGACTCTGCTTTTAATTTATAATACATACATTTTCCGAATTGAAGAACACCAGTGATAATACCATATTTATAGATAATTCTGAAGTAATGTGTATTTTGAAGTTATAACGTTATAAAATGGAAAAACATACCTTAATTTCGACCTCTCCTCTTTCTTCTATTTGATATTGGTTGAAAATGTCGAGAATCTTTTTGGTTTCACAGGATATCTGAATGCGAAGTGCTACAATAAAACAAGATCACAACTTTGAGATGTGCATTGAATTTGGTAAATCTATTTATATCTATTCATACAATTTACATATAACCTTTTTAACGAACGGGTAGTAAATAATCACACAAATAAATGTATCAACGTCTTAAAATGGGTCTTGAAAATGTTTGTAAATTTAGAAAATACTTGTCTTGTCGTTAGCACTATACTTTCTATAATTTGTACCTTTCATGTCATGCCTACCTTCCGAAGTCGATTCCATCCGTGACGCTGTGTTCACCGTATCTCCGAATAAGCAGTATCGAGGCATGGTCAGGCCAACTACTCCAGCTACCACTGACCCTTTAAATAAAGTGCACTTATGAACTGAAACTTATACACATCTACGTTACCTTCTAGCTGCACATGTACATAGTGCATGAATTAGAAAAATGTAATGCATTCATTCATCTATACATCCATCTGTAAACACACACACACACCCTCACACACGCAATCACACACACACACACCCTTACACACACTTACACACACACACAAACACACACACACACACACATACATCATACATACATAAACACACAAACACACACATCATATATACATACACACACACACACAACACACACAACACACACACACAAACACACACACACACATACACACACACACACACACACACACACACACACACACACACACACACACACACACACACACACACACACACACACACACACACACACACACACACACGCACACACTCACACACACACACACACACACACACACACACATACATACATACATACATACATACATGACTTTTTATCGTCAGTTACCTGAGTGAAGGCCTATCCTGATCATCAGGCTAGTATCTGGGAGATGTTTAATACAGAATGACTTGACAGTGTGTCGGATCTCCAATGCCATTTTTGCAATATTGGTTGCATGAAGGTTTCCGTTCCGTGTAGGTAAACCAGACACTACCATATACGCGTCTCCTATCGTTTCGACCTATGGTAATATATGTTTATAGTCATTCACATAAAAGTAATAACAATTGGTATCTAAAAAATAATTTGTAAGAACGCAGCTCTCGGGCGCCACAACCCTTCAATGACTGGGGAATGGTAGATTGATTAGAGTTGCCTATCTTCCCATATGTGTTCGCAACGAACAGTATTCACAGGAGAAGTTGTCTCGTTCAGCAATCTTTTGATAGTTCCTAATGTTTATGATGATCACTGCCAGTGCAGTCATCAAAACGTCACATATTAATATCATAATGGCTTCGCCATAACAACTTATATTCCAAATATAATATCCAACCTGAGGAAAATGTTTCACAATTACTAAATGTTAAGTTGCAGATGGCTCATTGCGTGTTTTGAAATAGCGGATTTAGAAGATCTAAGATAACATCAAAGATACATTATAAAGCAACGTCTACATGTATTTTCTTTCTATTGTGTAATATAACGTAATGTTGAGTAATGTGATGTAAGTAACGTGTAACTTGGTAAAAAATTATTATTGGGGCTGTAAACCACCTTAATTTGTAAATACACTAAAATATTGATATAGTTGTATCAATCTACTGCTATATCCATTATATATCACTTCGATCAGTCCCAGGATATAGATGTGAGAGGATATTTCATATTTTTACCACAAAGTAGAATCTTTCAAAACACTATAATGAATGTACATAAAAAATAACTATACAAACCTTGTAGACATCCAGTTTACCAATTACCTTGTCAAATTGTGTATACAGCTCGTTCAATAATGTAATGACCTGAAACGATCTTAAAAGATTCAGTAGGTGCCAAGGATTATTTAAAACCTTCTTTTTGTTACAGTAGATTCAAAAGTATTTAAAAGTCATCAATTTATCATAACTTCGTGAATAGTATGCATTAGCAAATGATATTCAAGGTAAACTCATGAAAGGACTAAACAAACGACAAAGCTTGTTTTATAGCAATACAAAAGGTATAGTGTTGTATACACCACACCAGAAACGCCACACTCTCATCTTCTACTGGTTGTGTTATACGATCTTCTATTCTATTGACATAACCACCCCGAAGAAAATATTCAAAACACAAGAGGTAGCTAAAATATCTAAAACATCAGTGACACAATAGGCAATAAAATGTCCACTATGTTTCCATGTTATCATTTGCCTGTTGTTTTACATAACAATTGCACCATTAATGATTGTACTTATTAAACGCTTAAGTCCTTAACTGAACCAAAACAATCTTAAAAACACCAAGGGCAGAAGACAAACAAAAGCCGAAAAATAGGAAACATGCAAACATTTTCTTTAAAAAAGCTTTCAGGATTCCTTTCTTAAACAAGCCTATTCATCTTTAGTCTTGATTATCTACAAAAAAGTACCTTAAGGTAGCTGTAATTAGTCATCTGAATGAGTGTAATATGGGTTTAAACATATGCATGTAATCCTGGGACACAACACATTTTATTGGGATAAGAAAAGGATTTATTTCAAAACAAAACCTTTTTAAGCAATATGAAGTCTGTTGTTTACCAAATCTGTAGCTGATATCTAAATATAAAAACAATCAATTTTCAAAAAGTCACGATAGATGTGCAACCTGGAACATTTCTCATATACGTTCGAGACCAAGTCCATTATCATATCATATTATGTTGACAGTGTAGTAACAAAAAATTACAAACCTTCAATGATATATCTTATATAAGTCTAATAGAATTTAATTTTCAAAATTGAAAATGAGATTTTTAGGAAAAAAATGTCTGGTTTTCGTTTTTATTATTATTATTATTTTTTTTTTTTTTCTTTATTTTTTGAAGACGCGTTAGGATCTGTATGAGGAATTTTTTATACCTGCATCGGGGAACTTTGTGCTGCTATGTTTGTGAAGCCTACAATATCACTGAAGTAGATGGTCACACAGTCATATGATTCTGGTAGTACGTTATGTCCAGCTTCTAACTGATCTGCCACAGACCTTTATAGGACGAAATTAACGCTTATGACACATATCAATATTTTTATCGTACAAGGAAGTATTTGATAGTGATTAAGCAAAAAAGGATTTATGTAAAAAGTATATCCTCACAGTCCATTAAACGCAATCATTTAAACAAGTTTAGTAACACCAGTAACAAGAACTAAAATTGAATCATATTTCAGTGGTATCTCGAAAAGCTAAATTGACATAATAAATATGAAGTTTATTATGCAATAGAGTAAAAGTGTGGTTTCTTTCGCTGTATACTTACGCTGGTAAAAGTCTGTGTAGTAGTTCTACTGCCTTTTTCTTCTCCTCGAGGTAGGCGTCAGTTCGTTCTTGTACAAGCGTCTCTAGATTATCGGCATATTGTTCCATACGCTTCAGTAGGTTATCCATAATGTTACTAGAATTTGACCTTTCAAATAAAATAGCATGCGAGTGTGGGTACAAAATTTGTACAAATAACAAATGTCAGTCTTGTTCCTCTCATAAGTCGGTTCAAAAAAATTCATGCATTCATACAATTCATACACACACATGAAATCAAATAACGAAAGGGATTTAGAAATATATGATGAAAGTATTTCCTCGAGTAGTTATAGATTTGGTGTTGAAAAGCATGATACAGTTGAAAATAGAAATAATTTTGTAGTCAAGCAAATTTGTATGATACTGCAATAACATAAAGGTCTTTCATGTAAATAGGTTACAATGAATATATTTGATCTCATTCTTCTTGCAAATAATTCAAACATTGAATATAGTGACATCAATGTGAATGTTTACACTAATTCTGACCTTCCACAAGATGGCTAACATGAATATATCATAGACCACCAGAAACAAACGCACTCAAAATATGCGCTTACCACTCTTACATACATTGTGGATATGAATTCCTGAAAAGGACAGTAAGAGTAAGTGTACTGTCTTAGTGTTTTGGGCCATAAATTCAATAAGCACCAATCAAAATGTATCTTATTTCATCATTGCAAACTTACGAATTGATCTTTTTGAAATCACAAGCAATGGTATCAAAGGTCGGTCTTTGGTTTGCAACTTCGTCCCAACATATCTGAATGAGATGTTGCAGTTCTCTACAACAATCGGTCACGGACATGTTAGGGCGAAATGGGATCGAGGAAACTTCAGTCACACGTCGTATGATATCTGTTACGTAAAAAAAATGTTCTACGATGACGTCATTTTCCAAGCTTAAATGTCAAGCCAAAGTTAAGGGAAATCACAATATATTCCTCAGAAAATGAAATGTATCAAAGTATGTACATTACAGACTGAATCAGAATACAACTTTGACGTAAGAGGTTATAAAAAGAAATAATACAAGTTAAAATTACATATTTTGAGGTATTATAAATCTCAAAGAAAACATAAATGAAAAATTGTGTTAACATGTATAGGCAACTTAACATAGGTTTCACTATTAAGACATGGTAGTAATCGTAGTTGCTTCCCTTAGATAATGTCTGCTTATTGAAATAGTCTTACCATCTGCGTTCAAGTTCATGTCGGCATAAGGTGTGTTTCTCGTGGCAATTTCCTGTAGTATAATACCAAAACCGTATATATCACCCTTCTGGTATACATGTGCGCTCAGACTATTCAACTTGGATACATCTTCTCTTAGAATTTCTGGAGCAGTCCACAACAACTCTTTGAAGATGAAATAAGAGACTTCTGGTCAATGGTTATTTAATTATCACCCCTGATATATATTGTATTCAGTATTATTACCTAAGTACATGCGACATTCTTTCGTGAACGTTTCATTTTTATATCTTAACGACCATTGTCCAACGATTCCCGGCGACAATGCATTTTCATTATCATTATCATTATCATTATCATTATCATTTTCATTATCATTTTCATTATCATTATCATTTTCATTATCATTATCATTATCATTATCATTATCATTATCATTTTCATTATCATTATCATTATCATTATCATTTTCATTATCATTTTCATTATCATTATCATTATCATTATCATTATCATTTTCATTATCATTTTCATTAACATTATCATTATCATTTTCATTATCATTATCATTATCATTATCATTAACTGATAATTTTCATAGATAAAGTCGAATTGTTTTATTTCTAATCCCCTCTCTTTCAATTTTATTTTTTTTAATTTGGGACAATTTGAAAACCCAAACGATTATATTCTCTACATGTCGTTCGTTTTAACGATTCATAAACTTGATTTGGTGACATCCATGATTATACTGAAATCGCAGTAAATTCAATTTGGCTGTCGTCACTTTTCATACATATCGAGTTAATAATCTGACATTTCAGTTTGTTAAGAAATAAAATGTACTAAACAATCACAAAGTCTTTCGTCCGTTCTAAACATGTTTACTTAAAATACTAAGGCAGTGTGAGTCTGATTTACTTGATCACATTAATGCTATAAACCAATGGAAGACGGCATACTAATTATTTGACTGAACTCCGTGTAGATACGTATTCAATATTTTGTACAGATTCACACTTCTTTTTGTTTGAATATATACATCGTATATATTGAGTGAGTTTTTAAAGCAATGTCCTGTTGTTCTTTGCGTACGGTTGTATTTAACATCTATCTCTTAGTATTTTATTTCACATTGTAGCTGCAAATGACAGTACATTCACGTGACTGGATTTATTCATTTAAGATATACTTAATTATCTAACTACAAATGGTGGAGCATTTACATCATTAAAGTCAGCCATTTATAATACATTTAATCTTTTTGAAAACATACTGTTGTAGTTGATTTCCTTATTCTTCAGGACAAATTGCCGTTCTGTTGAATACACACTTGGGATACCGAAGTCAGTCAGTTTTAACATGAATCGACTATCTATCACACAGTTTGTACTGCTTAATCGTCCGTGATACTTCAGGGGGCTGTTCTGAACGTACTGCATACCCTGTAAATTAGAATTTCACAATAATGTAATGGCGACCTATCGCCATATTGATCGTCCAAGTAACAAATTGAACGCTTTGTTTCATATAAAGCTCATTTTAAAAAATGAAAAGATGTATCGTAATTATAAAAAAATAAGATAGAAAATGGACAATTATAACACTATAAAGAAATATCACTGCTTTCATACAAACACAAGTTTACACTTCATCCTTTTACATATAATGGAGTCCAAGATGATGCCAAAATATACTGATATCATATTATATATTATATAATAGTAATATTACTAAAACATACTGACAATGATTCCAGATTGTAAGAGACAGGGTATTACCGTAATTACAAATAATCTATTCCTATTATTGGACACTATATGACCATTGTCCTGAAGACCTGCTAAGTCTACAATGGTCATTCCATGACTTTATAATAACAAATATGAAAGATTCTGACATGCCAACAGAATCCTTATTCAAACTCAAACTCAATGAAACTACAACAAATATGAACAAAAAGAAGGTTGACATGGAGACTCCTGAAAACGTACAAAGAGAATCAGACTTGTGTACATCGACATCACCCGTCTGTAACATAGATAAATAAATGATATCAGCTTATCACAGAAAAAACCAGATATAACGGTAAAATTGAGACCTGATTGGTCACATATCCTAAAGGTTGTTATTTCGAACACGTTGTTATGTATTTTAGTAAGGGGCCGATAACTGCATTCTCATTTGGTCTTGTATGAGTTAATGGTGTTGACTATCGTAGTACAGTAAAATTACAGACCGCCTTCCTGCTTTTACCTTTATTATATCCCAGATAAGAGAATATCGAAAGGTCCAGTCGAGATTGATATCGTCATATTCTATAATGTCCTGCAAAACAAAATACATCCATTTAGAACTTTTCACTGGTGGTATGTTGTTTAGATGTTAACTGGTACGTTTAATTGGCGAATCTTTCAAAACTTGATAGCCGATATTGTAATTACACATAAAATACTACTGGATACAGTGTTAGTTTATTCTTTCTAATATTTTTTGTGATTGCCGTGTCCGCACAGGTACATTCTAATATCGATGTACGTGTCTCAAAAGTGAAAATGTCTGAAATGGAAAAGCGAAAATCAGAGTAGTATTGGAATTTGAAATCAGAAAATATGCAGACAAATTCAACACCCAACCCAAAGTGTCTGTATGTTTGTGGTTTCTACATTACCATGTCTTGACATCTCATTTGATAATATAACGTCTCTTAGTAAAGCATGCTTGTAATACATTTAAATAATTTAGATATGTATGTGTCTCAGATATATCACTCAAACTAAATAGAATCATTAATACATTATATTATCAGGAGGAATAACCTATTAGATATCGACAGATAATTCGGGTTTTAAGTATCATTCTCATGTTGTTTTTTTTAGTTTACCGTCTATTGCACCTCTGTAGTGTATAACGGTCATCTTTGAATAAATTCTCCGATTTATCAGTTGACTTAATTCCTTAAACGACATTTATTGAATACTCACGTAGACAGCAATCCAAACATTTGTTTTTAGCTTTAAGTCGATTCCGGCAGCATCAGATTAATTTTTCCATCTCGACATGGATACATTATGTACCATACAACAGTTGGTTTACCTGCAGACTGCCTCTAGAGCAGTATTCCATTAGTATTGCACAGTTGTCTGGCTCTAAACACGCTCCTACAAATCGTGCTAGGTTCTGGTGCTGCATGCTGTATAACTAGAGAGGGTGAGAGGAACGTTAGACTTTAACAAAGAAACATCACCTTACAATATAATCACGATGTAAATGACATGGTATCATAACATGCATGCACCGGTGAAATCAAGTGGGCTGGTAAACTGTTTGAATATACCCGATATGAAGCAATGGTTTGGTTTTCGTAATTAGAAAATTTTGCAACAATACGAAAATATAATGGATATTGTTTAATAAGACATTCATATACACGTGTATGTGTGTTATCGGAGAAATCTGGCCTACACGTTAAGAAGAAAATCAAAAAGGTGTTGTTGAAAATATCTGTAGTATATTTTGTTATTTCCCCGAAGCTTTAAATAACCATATCTGTTAAGGTTATGCATATCTTATTGAATTTTATATAGGTAAAAGTATAACAATATTTCTTGTCTTAACTATCACATTGTGATCCTCCGATGTTTATAATGAATCAGTACACAGTAATTGGTTCATTCTGTCGTCTAAATCATATTAAGCTGTAGTCATATTCATTCTTCTAGTTTTCGGAGTACACATATCAAAAGACATTTTCCATCTCGAAAGCCGTCAAAGTTAGGAACAAACGAATGCTGACTGAGCTTCACAGCCATATAAGAATATAAATTGAACTTTGAGGTATTTAATGATCTCAGGGGCAAAAAATAAAATGCTATATACAGTGTATATATACTAGCGAAAACAAGAAAACGCAAGTTGGGTTTTTGTTAAATAACGTTTAGACACATGGACGAAATTTACTTGAATTTAACACTGAGCCACCTCATACATTGTGAAAATGTTCTTCACTTATCCAGTTTACAATGACCCCGCTCAACGCTGCATACTTTCAGTAGAATTTTCAGGAAACTTACATACTATATGTGGTGGTAAATCATTACAAATCGAACATTCAAACAGCACAGGTCAGCTAAACATTAGTCTTTATCGAAAAGACTGAAGAGCGAAATGCCGCGATTGAGTGAAGACGATAGGGATAGGGCCATTGCTCCGATAATGCAGACATTCGCAAAGTCATATAGTCCAGAAATATGGTGTAAATGAGACAACAATATCCTGTTTAATTGGGCGTCGCAGAACCACAGTGAGATTTGGTAACCGCCCCCAGGAGATGACGTCCGCGCGTTACGTCGCGACGTCAAGATGTAGACATACGTCTCTCGTACCTCCGTAACAGATTTCAGACGGCGACGGAGCCACAAGCCAAATTGTCGGCTCTCACTGTCGGCCAGTGTGTCGAAGAACACTTAGGAATCGGTTGCGGGAGTTTCATTTAAAGCCAAGACGTCCCTATGTTGGCCCGCCATTTACGTTGAGGCAACACCAACGTCGAATACAGTGGTACTGTACACATGTACCTAATCGGTGTCGTTTGGCTCACTGGAGACACGTGATGTTCACTGGCGAGTCTCGTGTCACGCATTACAGGTCAGATGGACGACAACGTTTCATGGAGAACGATTTTCTTACACGTAACGGAAAGCGACAGATTCAGGGGAGGGACTACTATGGTATATGCAGGGATATCTCAAAGCGTTAAAACACCTCCCATGGTTATCCATGGCAATCTTACATCAGTAACATATCGGGATCAGGTCTTGATACAGCACGTCAAACCTCTTATCCATCAACGTAACATTACATTGTAGCAGGATAAAGCGAGGCCACACTGTTGCTAGGGTTTATCCTGACTTTCTGCCTCGGAACAACGTCCTCGTTCTTCTTGATTGGTCACCTAACAGTCCCCAGTCGAGCATTTGTGGAACGAGCTGGACAGGAGGGTCAGTAATCACTTCAACGTCCTATATAATCTCGCTTAACTCGCGCAGGCCCTTTTTCATGCATGTTATAATATCCTTCCAAGGATAATAAACACCTTGATGGGATCAATGTTAAGGAGAGTAAGAGCAGCGACTGAAACCCGGGTGGGCACACACGCTTCTGGTTTGGGTCAGGAAACGTCTGTTTTAACGCAATTCACACAAACGCCGTCTGTGACAGGTCAATAAAACACCAAAATGTATTCAGTAATGATAAAATAACCCCAACAATGGACTGATCATCAATGAATCATGTAAAATAATAATTATCGACAATAAGTGTCTTTTTTCTAGTGTGTATATCACTCGCATGTTGTTTCATAGTATCAGTCGCTACACCTTGACTTACAGATTCGCCGTGCTTATGAAGCAATGGACAACAGTGATGACGTTGATGGAAAGCATCTCTTTTCATTTTCATTCTAACATTAATATTAAAAGAGTAACAAAACGAAAGACGAGAGCTGATCGCACGTTAGATACCTATTAAGATATAATGAGTCTCCAATAAAGATTTTATCTGGCTGAACTTTTTCTCTTCATTGCAAAGGTTCATTAGATCACAAACTGGATATCTTTAGACAATTTCTCGCTCCAATGATGACTTGTTTTCAAGGTAAACACATCAGTTGTTGTGTGTGAAATGTTTTACTTACTTTGTGAAATTCTATTAATGTCTTTCTATTGAGCTCCACTGTCGGTATGGAAAGTTTCCTGATAGCAACAATGTTTCCCTTGCAGTGTCCGACCGAGGTAAACAACTGCTGATGGGTGACGTCCGTCCCCTGTGCGAAATAATGACACAATTCAAATATGTCCAATATATCCTTATTATTAGTCTTATCACCTCAAATAAATAACTGTTTTCGCGAGATAAGTGTTTTGTTCAGCTTATCGACAGCTTACCGCGGAGGCCAGCGACAGTCTGGACTTAGACAAGATCGATCCCTTCTTGTCCGTCTTTGATAAAACCACCTCCGACCAGGTTATCAACCAAGGGGTTTTCCCACTTTCTATTTTAGACTGTACTTTCCTGTAACAAAGTATAGCATTGCATAGCTAATTATTAGAAATTGGATGAGAAAATATGATAGGTTTCAGAAGAATACAAGAACTATCTACATATTTTCGAGTTAGATGATAATCTTGTTCTAGATGAACCTCGACAAATAGGAAGAAAGAAAACAATGGAAACTTAAAAAAAAAAAAAAAAAAAGGTTCATAGTTAATGTAGACAATAAATGATATCTTTATCAGATTGACTTATGTCAAAAGACAACAATCAAAATCAATGATAGGCCAAAACCCGATACCTGTAGATAAAAATTGACGCAGCCATTCCCACCAAAAGTACACTGGATAATGAAAGACTCAACGGAAGAACCAACTTGGAATCGTCGTTCTCATCTTAAAGAAAATATCAACAACTATTATATTGATTTTTACATAAATCAGTGTCAAACCTTTGTTGATATTTACTATATGATTATTAATATAAAATATCGTTTAAATTCCCGTCAATACAACAAACCCTTGGTACATAATTCTAGCCATTTTATCAGAAAAAATATTTATATTGTATATGAGCATTTATCCATTGTTTGAAAACACCGGTAATAAATTGTTGATATCAAATATTCTATCAGTAACAATAAGTATTGTTTGCGTATTGACCATTTGTTTGTTAAGATTGTTCCACAGGTGTTATCTTGTGTCCACACTCTGTGTTACTAATAACCCAGTCCTACACTCTGTGTTACTAACAACTCAGTCGTACACTCTGTGTTACTAACAACCCAGTCCCACACTCTAAGTTACTAACAACCCAGTCCTACACTCTGTGTTACTATCAACCCAGTCCTACACTCTGTGTTACTATCAACCCAGTCCTACACTCTAAGTTACTATCAACCCAGTCCTACACTCTAAGTTACTATCAACCCAGTCGTACACTCCAAGTTACTAACAACCCAGTCGTACACTCCAAGTTACTAACAACCCAGTCGTACACTCCAAGTTACTATCAACCCAGTCCTACACTCTAAGTTACTATCAACCCAGTCCTACACTCCAAGTTACTAACAACCCAGTCGTACACTCCAAGTTACTAACAACCCAGTCCTACACTCCAAGTTACCAACAACCCAGTCCTACACTCTGTGTTACTAACAACCCAGTCCTACACTCCAAGTTACTAATAACCCAGCCCTACACTCTGTGTCAGTCCTACACTCTGTGTTACTAATAACCCAGTCTTACACTCTAAGTTACTAACAACCCAGTCCTACACTCCAAGTTACTAACAACCCAGTCGTACACTCCAAGTTACTAACAACCCAGTCCTACACTCCAAGTTACCAACAACCCAGTCCTACACTCTGTGTTACTAACAACCCAGTCCTACACTCCAAGTTACTAATAACCCAGCCCTACACTCTGTGTTACTAACAACCCAGTCCTACACTCTGTGTTACTAATAACCCAGTCTTACACTCTAAGTTACTAACAACCCAGTCCTACACTCCAAGTTACTAACAACCCAGTCCTACACTCTGTGTTACTAACAACCCAGTCCTACACTCCAAGTTACTAACAACCCAGTCCTACACTCTGTGTTACTAACAACCCAGTCCTACACTCTGTGTTACTAATAACCCAGTCCTACACTCTGTGTCACTAACAACCCAGTCGTACACTCTGTGTTACTAATAACCCCGTCCTTCAAATTTAATATTTGACCTCTGCACCAGATAAGATCTCAATTAGAATGTAGAATGATTGCATGAAAGACATTTTTACCAATGATACAAAGTTCATTTTCATATCCACAAGCAGGCATGTCCACTGGCAGTCCGTTTGGCCACATGATTTCTATTCCAACAATAGCCTTGTATTCCTGAGTGGAACCCTGGAACACTCCAACGATCTGTGAAGAAGGATACAGCATCGATTCATATGATGACGATATTAGGAAACAAAACTGAAGATAACATCAAATGGTTACATCTTTTAATTCATTCGGACACTTATTTTGCCAATGCAGAACATTCTTTTATGAAAAATACAAATCATGAACACTTAAAAAAGGCAGAATATAAAGTGCTGCTGCTGAAGATGATGATGATAATGATGATGATGATGATGATGATGATGATGATGATGATGATGATGATGATGATGATGATGATGATGATTAAATTTTTAAAAAAAAGATTAAAAAAAGAAAGTATTCACATTGAAAGTTTTTGAAACAGGATCCGCCATGTGTAAAAAGTCAAAGTCAGCAATTCTGTCACCAAATTCATCAATAGCAACGGTCCCAGAGATACCTAAAATAAGAGATTTACATGTCATGGAAAGGTCGACTTTACATCTAGGTGGTAGCCTATAGGGAACGGAGCCGAGGAAAGGTCGACTTTACATCAAGGTGGTAGTCTATAGGGAACGGAGCCGAGGAAAGGTCGACTTTACATCTAGGTGGTAGTCTATAGGGAACGGAGCCGAGGAAAGGTCGACTTTACATCTAGGTGGTGGCCTATAGGGAACGGAGCCGAGGAAAGGTCGACTTTACATCTAGGTGGTGGCCTATAGGGAACGGAGCCGAGAAAAGGTCGACTTTACATCTAGGGGGTAGTATATAGGGAACGGAGCCGAGGAAAGGTCGACTTTACATCTAGGTGGTGGGCTATAGGGAACGGAGCCGAGAAAAGGTCGACTTTACATCTAGGTGGTAGCCTATAGGGAACGGAGCCGAGGAAAGGTCGACTTTACATCTAGGTGGTAGTCTAAAGGGAAAGGAGCCGAGGAAAGGTCGACTTTACATCTAGGTGGTAGTCTATAGGGAACGGAGCCGAGGAAAGGTCGACTTTACATCTTGGTGGTAGTCTAAAGGGAAAGGAGCCGAGGAAAGGTCGACTTTACATCTAGGTGGTAGTCTATAGGGAACGGAGCCGATGAAAGGTCGACTTCACATCTAGATGGTAGTCTATAGGGAGCGGAGCCGAGGAAAGGTCGACTTTACATCTAGGTGGTAGTCTAAAGGGAAAGTAGCCGAGGAAAGGTCGACTTTACATCTAGGTGGTAGTCTATAGGGAACGGAGCCGATGAAAGGTCGACTTCACATCTAGATGGTAGTCTATAGGGAACGGAGCCGAGGAAAGGTCGACTTTACATCTAGGTGGTAGTCTAAAGGGAAAGTAGCCGAGGAAAGGTCGACTTTACATCTAGGTGGTAGTCTATAGGGAACGGAGCCGATGAAAGGTCGACTTCACATCTAGATGGTAGTCTATAGGGAACGGAGCCGAGGAAAGGTCGACTTTACATCTAGGTGGTAGTCTAAAGGGAAAGTAGCCGAGGAAAGGTCGACTTTACATCTAGGTGGTAGTCTATAGGGAACGGAGCCGATGAAAGGTCGACTTCACATCTAGATGGTAGTCTATAGGGAGCGGAGCCGAGGAAAGGTCGACTTTACATCTAGGTGGTGGCCTATAGGGAACGGAGCCGAGGAAAGGTCGACTTTACATCTAGGTGGTGGCCTATAGGGAACGGAGCCGAGGAAAGGTCGACTTTACATCTAGGTGGTAGTCTATAGGGAGCGGAGCCGAGGAAAGGTCGACTTTACATCTAGGTGGTGGCCTATAGGGAACGGAGCCGAGGAAAGGTCGACTTTACATCTAGGTGGTGGCCTATAGGGAACGGAGCCGAGGAAAGGTCGACTTTACATCTAGGTGGTGGCCTATAGGGAACGGAGCCGAGGAAAGGTCGACTTTACATCTAGGTGGTGGCCTATAGGGAACGGAGCCGAGGAAAGGTCGACTTTACATCTAGGTGGTAGTCTATAGGAAACGGAGCCGAGGAAAGGTCGACTTTACATCTAGGTGGTGGCCTATAGGGAACGGAGCCGAGGAAAGGTCGACTTTACATCTAGGTGGTAGTCTATAGGGAACGGAGCCGAGGAAAGGTCGACTTTACATCTAGGTGGTGGCCTATAGGGAACGGAGCCGAGGAAAGGTCGACTTTACATCTAGGTGGTGGCCTATAGGGAACGGAGCCGAGGAAAGGTCGACTTTACATCTAGGTGGTAGTCTATAGGGAACGGAGCCGAGGAAAGGTCGACTTTACATCTAGGTGGTAGTCTATAGGGAACGGAGCCGAGGAAAGGTCGACTTTACATCTAGGTGGTGGCCTATAGGGAACGGAGCCGAGGAGATCGACTTTACATCTAGGTGGTAGTCTAAAGGGAAAGGAGCCGAGGAAAGGTCGACTTTATATCTAAGTGGTAACCTATAGGGAACGGAGCCGATGAAAGGTCGACTTTACATCTAGGTGGTAGTATATAGGGAACGGAGCCGAAGAAAGGTCGACTTTACATCTAGGTGGTGGGCTATAGGGAACGGAGCCGAGAAAAGGTCGACTTTACATCTAGGTGGTAGCCTATAGGGAACGGAGCCGAGGAAAGGTCGACTTTACATCTAGGTGGTAGTCTAAAGGGAAAGGAGCCGAGGAAAGGTCGACTTTACATCTAGGTGGTAGTCTATAGGAAACGGAGCTGAGGAAAGGTCGGCTTTACATCTAGGTGGTAACCAATAGGGAACGGAGCCGAGGAAAGGTCGACTTTACATCTAGGTGGTAGTCTAAAGGGATAGGAGCCGAGGTAAGGTAGACTTTGCATCTAGGTGGTAGTCTATATGAAACGGAGCCGAGGAAAGGTCGACTTTACATCTAGGTGGTAACCTATAGGGAACGGAGCCGAGGAAAGGTCGACTTTACATCTAGGTGGTAGTCTATAGGAAACGGAGCCGAGGAAAGGTCGACATTACATCTAGGTGGTAGCCTATAGGGAACGGAGCCGAGGAAAGGTCGACTTTACATCTAGGTGGTAGTCTAAAGGGAAAAGAGCCGAGGAAAGGTCGAATTTATATCTAAGTGGTAACCTATAGGGAACGGAGCCGATGAAAGGTCGACTTTACATCTAGGTGGTAGTCTATAGGGAACGGAGCCGAGGAAAGGTCGACTTTACATCTAGGTGGTAGTATATAGGGAACGGAGCCAAGGATAGGTCGACTTTACATCTAGGTGGTGGCCTATAGGGAACGGAGCCGAGGAAAGGTCGACTTTACATCTAGGTGGTAGTCTATAGGAAACGGAGCCGAGGAAAGGTCGACTTTACATCTAGGTGGTGGCCTATAGGGAACGGAGCCGAGGAAAGGTCGACTTTACATCTAGGTGGTGGCCTATAGGGAACGGAGCCGAGGAAAGGTCGACTTTACATCTAGGTGGTGGCCTATAGGGAACGGAGCCGAGGAAAGGTCGACTTTACATCTAGGTGGTAGTCTATAGGAAACGGAGCCGAGGAAAGGTCGACTTTACATCTAGGTGGTAGTCTGTAGGAAACGGAGCCGAGGAAAGGTCGACTTTACATCTAGGTGGTAACCTATAGGGAACGGAGCCGAGGAAAGGTCGACTTTACATCTAGGTGGTAGTCTATAGGGAACGGAGCCGAGGAAAGGTCGACTTTACATCTAGGTGGTAGTATATAGGGAACGGAGCCGAGGAAAGGTCGACTTTACATCTAGGTAGTAGTCTATAGGGAACGGAGCCGAGGAAAGGTCGACTTCACATCTAGGTGGTAGTCTATAGGGAGCAGAGCCGAGGAAAGGTCGACTTTACATCTAGGTGGTAGTCTATAGGGAACGGAGCCGAGGAAAGGTCGACTTTACATCTAGGTGGTGGCCTATAGGGAACGGAGCCGAGGAAAGGTCGACTTTACATCTAGGTGGTAGTCTAAAGGGAAAGTAGCCGAGGAAAGGTCGACTTTACATCTAGGTGGTAGTATATAGGGAACGGAGCCGAGGAAAGGTCGACTTTATATCTAAGTGGTAACCTATAGGGAACGGAGCCGAGGAAAGGTCGACTTTACATCTAGGTGGTGGCCTATAGGGAACGGAGCCGAGGAAAGGTCGACTTTACATCTAGGTGGTAGTCTAAAGGGAAAGGAGCCGAGGAAAGGTCGACTTTACATCTAGGTGGTAGTCTAAAGGGAAAGGAGCCGAGGAAAGGTCGACTTTATATCTAAGTGGTAACCTATAGGGAACGGAGCCGATGAAAGGTCGACTTTACATCTAGGTGGTAGTCTATAGGGAAAGGAGCCGAGGAAAGGTCGACTTTACATCTAGGTGGTAGTCTATAGGGAACGGAGCCGAGGAGATCGACTTTACATCTAGGTGGTAGTATATAGGGAAAGGAGCCGAGGAAAGGTCGACTTTACATCTAGGTGGTAGTCTATAGGGAACGGAGCCGAGGAAAGGTCGACTTTACATCTAGGTGGTAGTCTATAGGAAACGGAGCTGAGGAAAGGTCGGCTTTACATCTAGGTGGTAACCAATAGGGAACGGAGCCGAGGAAAGGTCGACTTTACATCTAGGTGGTAGTCTATAGGGAACGGAGCCGAGGAAAGGTCGACTTTACATCTAGGTGGTAGTCTATAGGGAAAGGAGCCGAGGAAAGGTCGACTTTACATCTAGGTGGTAGTATA